TCAATACTTACGATATGATTGGGGGGTGGCATGATGGACGCGTCCGAAAATCAATTTGACACAAATAGTGAACAGAATGGTCAACCAACAAGTGTGGCCACATGACCATGTGACATGTGAATGTGATGGATTGAGTAGGGATGTGCATTGCTCAAATGGAAATCTTTGCATTGAATGCGATTGTTCTTTTGGCCCGAGGATCGTTGAGCTTGTTGCGGATGGGAAACAGGGACTGTGCCCACAGCCACCGCCATGGCCTTCATGTACCAATATCCGGACACCCAGCCACCACCGGAGGATTCGTTTTGGGATCTCCCCGCTTCCGCTTTTGAAGATACCAGCATGAAGGTGGGACAAAGGGGGTATTACTAGGAATGACTGTTGGTTAGTAGAAGTAAAGGCTCACATGCCAGAGCCCCCCACACCTTCAGCCCACACCGTGGTTAGGATCACTGGGGGGGCAGTTTCCACAGCGGCTTTGAAGATGGAGACATGAAACGAAAGATCCACCAACACCACCTCCTTAGGTCTCACTAGGTAATCAGGTCAAGGCCAATTGCTGGAGTCAACTGTTGGCAGTAGGAAGTTTGAAGTCGGGGACTATTTCACGCCCTCTGTTCTTATTCGCATGCAAACTTACACTGCCAGTGGGTTGCTAGGCATAGCCTAGCCGCATAACTTGCTGATAGTTGACTAGGACTTCACCTCCTTCTCCTACCAGCAGTCAACAATCCAATGTAGCCAATAGTCCAACGCTCCAGGTGTTGAATGCAGACTCCGATGATGACATAGCCAAGACGGCGCCCGTGTCACCTACAAGTGAGTCGCCTGAAATTCCAAAGGCGTTCAAGTCTCCTTGCATGTTGGACTTCTGCCGCTCGGTGCTGGAGCATACAGGCATGCCTGCTCGGCTCACGAAGACTTTCTTGGACTCAGCGAAGAACCAAGTCTTGCGAGTTTCAACCATCTGCAGTGGCTCAGATGGAGTGATCCAGGCTCTTAAGGACCCAACTCAGTATCAATTGGCATTGGTGTTCCAATTGTGATTGCCTCATCAACATCAAGTCCTTAAGTCGGTTTGGTTTGTCGATCGCGATTCGTTCTAGTGGAAGTTTTGGCCGATCAATGAGCAGAGTCATTATCTAATTATCTAATCACTGAGTATAGTGCATCAGGATGGGAATGCGCACAGCCAAATCCATTGCCAATGCCGATCCAATACAGTTCCCGGACGTGATTTTTGGGATGATTTGCACGTATGTTTCATCTATGATGTGCCATGCCATGTACCGAATTTTATCAATCATAATTACATTACTTCCTGTGATCCCCACCATGACATTTGTCGATTTGTTACTGGCAAATCTTCTGGCGTATCTTCTAACATTCTATTTGGCATTCTATCTGGAATTCTATCTGGCATATCTTCTGGCATTCTACCTGGCATATTTTCTGGCATTCTATCTGGCCGTTAAAGTCCAGCGGTGTACACTGAGCTGGGAAGGTCCCAGGTTGAGCTTCAGCGGCGCACACATTACGCGCAGATTCATGCCGGGCGGGGGCAAACCCACAAACACTGATCCTCATGGCGGCGAGCTGGCCTAACCATGAGGAAGTGTTTGTGGGCGCCCTCTAACCCGGCAAGGTCTGTTGCAAGTAATTGGAGGCAGAGGTGGTGGAGGATAAGGAGGAGGACGAGGAGGAGGAGGAGGATGAGGAGAAGGAGAAGAACAATTCTGATCAATTCTAACAACCCTCACCTGGCAGGTGGGGAAAAACGTGAGTCCCATTGATGGGTCCAAAGGTCCAGATCAGCAGCGGGATTTGATCAACCATTTTGTTGAAGATTTTTGCATTCGTTTGTCCAGCTCACAGCAATTGACAGCAGGACATCTTCGTTGCAGGCAGGGAGATTGCCCTCAAGCAGGAGCGCGACATCGATATGGTGGGTGATGGAGTGAATACCATCAAACATGAGTTGGCATGTGACAACGATCCTGCGATGCAGAGGTGGATCCAGAGAACGCGTCACTCAGAAATTCTCATTTCCGAGATTTCTGACTTGGAGTTCAAGGCCCTGAAGAATTTGAACAGCAACAGCTGCTCTGTGCGCCCCAGCTCCACGATTGCCATTTGTGGGTGGTCTTGCTGTACTGCGTTCGAGGCTTAGTTGTCCGATCTACCGATCTACCACCACAAAGCTCATAAAGCTTGGGCCAACCATGAGCAATGAACATTGTTTCCAAGTCACATACCACCAGGGATCTATTCAGAATGATTCGGGTATTTTCAAAAAAATAGGATGATGATCCAAACATGACTCATATTTTTGGGATGGGTTGAAATCATCAATCATTCGAAAATTGTTTCGGTGGCAGTTGGGGTTGAAACGTGCAGTTCTGGGATCTTGAGGCTATGAATAATGCAGTGACAATCGGTCACATGTGGTGTAACAGTGGTGAGTGTACAAATGCATATGGTAGGTGATATCATCTGTACATACTACCCATCTCATACAAATTGATACAAACAAATCAACAGTACATTAATTATCATCAAATTTCATAAAATTATACATCACTGTCACATTATACATCACTGATGGACTGAGCGGTGCTTGAGGTCTCCTCTCTTTCTCTCTCTTTCTCTGATTACCTACCTACCTACTGATCTATCTGTCTAACTATCTATCTGTCTGTCTGTCTATCTATCTCCCTATCTATCTATCTATCTACCTATCTATCTATCTCCCTATCTATCTTTCTATCAATCTATCTATTTATCTATCTGTCTAGCCATCTACCTATCAATCAATCAATCAATCAATCAATCAATCAATCTGTCAACCTGTCTAGCCATGCATCTATTTATCTATCTATCTTTCTATCTATCTATCGATCTATCTTTCTTTCTCGCTCTATCTATCTATCTATCTAGCTATCTATCTATCTATCTGTCTATCTATCTATCTATCTATGTAGTGTAATGTGGTGTAGCGCAATTGAGTGTAATTGAGTGTAGTGTATTGGAGTGTAGTGTGGTGTAGCGGTGGTTGTAGTTGAAAATGCTACAAGACCCTCCATTTTGCTCACTTTTGACATGGTGCACAACCCCTTGCGCCTGCCATGCGAAGCGACATCTGAACCTCCAAAAGTGGTCCGAACCCTTGGTGTTTTTAACGTATTGACTTCGAAATGTGCTTCGCGCCACAGCGGCGTGCACTTTTGTCGACATCTGAACTTCCAAAAGTCCGAACCCCTGGTGTTTTTAACATTTTGACTTCGAAATGTGCTTCGCGCCACAAAAGACTGCACTTTTTCGACATCTCAACTTCCAAAAGTGGTCCGAGTATGGTGTGTCTTGTACATTTTGACTTCGAACTGTGCTTCGCGCCACAACGGCGTGCACTTTTTCGACATCTCAACGAACAAAAGTGATCCGAGAATGGTCTGCTTTGTACATTTCGACTTGGACATGTGCTTCGTGGCACATCCGCGTGCAATTTTTTATCTCTCATCTGGCCAGCTGGCTCCGCACCCGCCGCTTTAGCGAGCCTACTTTTGGACCCTCCGGAGCCACAAATCATTGGAAAAACAAAGTGTTTGGCGACTTTCGTACCTTTTCGCGCATCTGCATCTTCTTTCTTCTGACTCTTTCTCTTCTCTGATCTTCTCTCTTCTAATCTTTCTCTTCTCTCTGCCTCTGCTCTGCTCTGCTCTTCATCTGTCCATATTGTCGGAAGTTTGACTGCTAAACTTCCTTCGATCATTATATCATATAATATTGTATACTGTATACTGCATACCGAATTATACCATGAATGATATGCATAAGATATGTATTGTATATTATTGTAGTCATAAGTAATTTAATTAAATGATTTTATACCTTAGTCTAGTATGTACGAGGTATGCAGCATGCATCATGTGTCATGTGCCAATGTTAATTTCTGACTCAATCATGCATGTTTATGATTTTCACATTATCATTACCATTCGTCATTTTTCATTCATCATATTGTATACATTCTGATTTTAGCAGACAGCCAAACAGCATAATCCAAAAGTCATTGCCATGTTTCATGGCAGCTTACATCGCAGCTTCCAAGACACTTCACTTGACTTTTTGGTTTCATCCATCGGTGGAGTACAACGACTACATTGTCATTGTGCATTCACCGTCCAGTGTTACTTTATGTTCGCTTTCACCTTCACTTGGTTTTCAGTTCCGTGGGCAATTGCCAGTGCCAGCTTCATTTTCCCAATGAGTTGTAATGCCAGCTCCATTTGGGCCCAGGTCAAGGCGCAACCCGAAAAGATCACGCACCTGCATTTCGGAAGTGTCAGGATCGACAGGGGAGACATTCCTTGGTTTTGTCAACTACCTCCGCTCAGCTCAACCGAACTACTTTTATGGAGAGATGGTTTCTTGTTTGTTTTTCAGGCATTTATAGGTCCCACATGACATGTACAGCAAAGTACAGGCCAGTGTACAGCCCAGTACTGCACTGTAGGGTCTTGTGAATTTTCAACAGTTTGAGGCCAACTGCCAGCCAACAGCCAGACAATAGCCAGCATTGTCCACATGATAAACCCTGATCCAACTCGCTCAAACATGAACTTTTATTCCTTACCAATTCCAAGTGTTCAAGCAATACTGGATGGATGATCGATGACATGAATTGGGGAAGGTTCAAAAATCATTTGTTCTTTTGATTTTCGAATCATGTCTGTTGTCCAGTGTTTTTCTTTTCAGTTTGATTTAATCATTGATGGGTTTTATGAGGTACGGTGTGAATAGTCATGTAGATTTGCAATGGAAATTTTAATAACCTCTTCCGGTCTTCTGACGGTCTTCCGTTTTTCAAAGCTCAATCTCACATGGTATCAGCCACTTCCTCTCAGCCTAAGGTGACGGGCTTCCTTGACAAAGAGCTTCCCGCCAGCGGAGCTAAGAAGAAGGCTCCAACTGAAGAGATCCAGTCGAATCACCAGCACGCCATGGCTGCGTTTGATGATGCGGGGTATGAGGTCCGATACCAGATCGTAAACCCCCTTGCACAGGGCATTCCAGCCAGTAGGCCGAGAATTCATTATCAAGGCCTCTGTCGGTCCAAGCAGCCAAACTTGAACCCAGTGGTAGCCATGGACAGTGTTTTGGATTCATGGAAGCAGTTGAACGAAAAGTGTGTCGTCAACCACAAGTTGAGTGACTACTTGTTTGATGAAGATGACCTCCACACAGAGCCTGAAGTTGCTGACAACTTCCCATGCCCGCCATCATCAGCACAGAAGACACCCACGGGTCGGAAGAGGGAGACCATCCATGAAGAGTTCAAGAGATCATTGAAGGTGCCCGGGTGCTTCATTTTTGTGGGGGGGGTGGGTCCAGTTTGTTGGCCCATGTCACCTATTCAACATTGGTGACCGGCGACTGCATTAATGACAAATTTGGCAGTGCATTGTTATTGAACTTTTACCTTTGGCGGTCAGATATCAGATATGATTGATATGATTCCATGATCATGATGAGATAAATGATTTGTGATGGTGAGTTGATGGCCAGAAAAACTTTTCATGGGCTTGGTCGCTTGGTAAGGGCAAAGAAAGTAAAAGCAGAATTTCTGGAACTGCCACTGCAATGTAATTTTATTTCAATTCTAGTTCCACTTTACTTCATCCCACTTTTGTTCATTTATGTGTGTGTGAGACATCTGCATAGATAGATGTAAAACTTCTGTAACTATGTTTGTTCATGCAGGGGGACTGGAGCCGATTTGCCTATCCAGTCCAACGAAGCTATGGCATTTCGGTGGATGAGTGGTCTGATCAACCACAAGCACCTGCAATTTCGTTTTCTCAATTTCAGTTTTGACCGACATGGCAAGCGGCCAAGCCTAGAACCGCACAGTTGAAACCTTTATTTCACGGGTGGCGCAATCTGAACAACCCTAGTGGGGTCCATTATACATGATCGGCGATTCATCGCCGATATATTGGTTGGAACACCTCGCCGATTCATCGCCGACGACAACAATTTTGGTTTTCAATGGTTATACATCCTATTCTATTCTATTCTTTTTGATGTCGATTCAGGACATGGTGATCTTTCAGGAGAACTTCCATTATTCGTAGGATGCATCGTGAATTAATTTGTTTTCTCATCTAATTTGCATGTTACAGGATTCAGTTCCTGCCGGATCACTTCAATGATCCATTCTTATCTAGTGTGTGCGTGTGCCGGTGTGCCTTTTTTTGTTTGCTCAAAGCCCGGTATTTCATCTTTCCATATGGAATTCTTGTCCAGGAATCCATAGGTGGTCGGCAGGCTACTTGGAAGCATGAACCATAGGGTAGCAAAGCTAGCGATGCCGGTAGCTCCAGCCTTTCTCCAGCACACATACCAGGCTAGAATTTAGATAGGATAGGATAGGTAAGTCAGTAGTAAATAACATGTACTGTATGGCCGCACGGGCTAGGTCAGATCAGATCAATGAACCCTTGTCAAAGGCCCTCGTCACAATTGATCATTGATGGGGGTAATAGTTGGTTCGATTCAAAAAAATGGATTCTTGGTGGATAGATGCCGTTAGATGATCGACTGACAGACTGATAGACTGATAAACGGAGACAAGTTGACCATCCATAGCTTGGGCCTTTCAGTAGCATTTATCATTTAGCTGCAAATCAAGCAAAGCTTTTCAATGATCAATGAATAGCTTTTGATTGACAATGTGACATATGTAGCATATGACATATGCTTTATTTCTCGACACTATCATATATTATAGATTCTTATATAATTATTGTATAAATAAATGTTATATGACATCCTATCGTGTCAGTGGGCTGTACTGTCTACTCTTTACTTCCTGTACTGGGCAACACTGGCCAAACATGACAAAACAGAGCAGACCCTGACACCAAATCGTCAGCTCCAGGTGGATCCAGTCCGTTTGCGAGAGGTCTTCAAGGATTACGACCAGAGTGGCAACCCCTTCTGGCGGCAGCTTCCACTGAGGGAGAAGGAGATCATCGCCATTATGGACATCCTTCGCCCTGCTTTGAATGAAGGGGATGAAGAGGTCATGGACACGTGCCCCAGCTTACCTGGTCAACCCGGGTTTTGACATGCAGTGTTTGCAGTGCAAGGTACTCAGCATATTCATGAGGATTGCGGGACGGTCTGCGGCCTGGCAGAAGCCTTGGTGAAGGAGACTCTTCCCAGCATCTTCGATGAACTTGCAGGTCAGTTCAAAGCTGCATGTCTTGAAAGCCAGGACTGGTGGAAGCAAGCAGTTCCATCAGGAATCATGCCCAGAAATGCCCCGCTGGACTTCTGGGTTCGAGCCGCTGCCCATGAGCTTCCTTCTGAGAAGATCAAATGCCTGGAGTCCGTCCGAGAAGCATGCAATTCCTCCCAGTCAGTGCTGAATGATTGCCGACGTTCCTACGACAAGGCAGTTGTGATGCAGAGCCTCTGCCAGGTCCAGAGCCTCATGATTTCCCAGCAGCTGACTTCATCCCCATCCTTGGAGACTTTGTCTGACACACTGCCCAAGCTCCAGAAGCCTTGCCAGAATATGGTTGCTGCTGTCTTGAAGCTCGCCGACGACCCCAGCCGTGATCAATTCTCTGCAGAGATTGTCAGGCTCTCGGTTGAACCCATTTCCGGCGACGTCGTGAATGCTCTGAGCACATATGTGAACAAGGTGCTGTGGAATCTGGTGGGGCTTCCTGTCCAGAAGTACGATGGGAATGACAGTGTTATGATTTGTGATATCCGATATCAGATATCAATTGCATTTGAAGTTGAGAACAAATGAATAATCATGAATAGTGAATCAAAATAGATAGTGATTATATCAGTGATAATATCAGTGAAATGATATGATATGATATGATATGTTTATGTTAGGTTTGATTTGAGGTGAGATAATCTTAAGGATCTGACCTATCTATAATCTATAATCTATCAATCAATATCATTTGATCTCATATCACATCATCTCATCTCTCATTTCATATTCAGAAAATATATGTTTTTGATTGATAAATATTGTGCACACCATAGATCGTAGACTCATGACTCATGACTTTTGACAATCATTTTCAGATATCAGCCTGACTGGCCAGAGTATCCATGGCCACAATTTTTTGCGACCTTGAAAAATTCCATGGCCCATGGCCGATAAATCCAATTGCACTGTTCATTTCAACTTGCAACTTGCATCAGGGCCAACACGTGCAGTATCAGTGGAGATCAAGAGATCCACAACATAGATGGTTTTAGATTGAGGCCGCCAAGGTTGATCAGTTTTGCTCATGTTTTGTTTCCTTCTTTGGCCGGAGGCCACTGAGAAGATTCCTGAGCTGTATGAGCAGTGGATCAGCACTCGAAATGTTGGAAAGATCAAGGCAACCATGCTGGCCAAGGAGGTGCACGCTGAAGTTTGTGGAGGGCAGGATGCAATGAACGCAGCGCTGGGCTCCTTCGACGTCCTCTTCTCAGAGTTTGCAACGTTAAGTTTGTTGCAGGCCTCCTCCGTCAGCAAGTTGCGTGGGATCCAGTCCAACCTCAAGCTGATCCGAAGCTACAGTGTTGCTGTGCACGGGATCAACTTGATTCTGAACCGCATGGCCAACAAAGCTGCCAGGGAGCGAGCAGCACTTGTTCGGGAGTTGCTTGGCAGCATCGGGTCTCTTCAAGGAAATCTGTGACGGAGTTACGGGGTTGGATAAAGTATGATTCAGTATCAACCTATGATTGGTATCGGTATTGGTATGATATAATATATATATATATATATACATATATATATATATTATATATATATATGATTCGATGTATATATATATATTATATATAATATATATTATATTATAGCCTTTCAAGGGTTTAAGGCCTGGCAAACGGCACGCTTGGACGCCCATAAGAAGCCTTTGTTTGATGTGGCCTTGGGGTGCCTGTTGGCTGCGGGATGAGGCATGCCACGAGAATGTTTAAGCGTTTGAAGGGTTTGAAGCTTGTAATGCCTGACGAACGGCAGGCTGGACCGCCCAGAAGAAGCGATGGATGTGGCCTTGGGGTAGCTTTTGCCTGCGCGGTTGAGCGTTCCGAGATATTTTGCAAAGTTTTAAGAGTTTTAAGCCTTTTAAGCCTTTTAAGGGTTTAAGGCCTGGCAAACGGCAGGCTTGGACCCCCATAAGAAGCCATTGATGTGGCCTTGGGGTGCCTGGTGGCTGCGGGATGAGGCATGCCAAGAGAATGTTTAAGCGTTTGAAGAGTTTGAGGCGTGTAACGCCTGGCGAACGGCTGAGACTTAGATCAATCCACTGCACTTGGATAAATGATGGACAGCCACACTGCACAGGTCCACCTTCCACTAGCTTATTCGGAATCAATCCAATCCATTGAAACGATGTACGGTGCTCACTGAACTCGGCAGGTCCCAGGTTGAGGTCCAGCGGTGCTCACTGAGCTCGGCGGGTCCCAGGTTGAGGTCCAGCGGTGCTCACTGAACTCGGCAGGTCCCAGGTTGAGGTCCAGCAGTGCCCACTGCGTGCGGAAGATGGCGAAGAGCTTGGCGAAGAGTTGGCAAGGCAGAAGTGGACATGGACGTGGAGGCAGAGGTGGTGGAGGAGAAGGAGGAGGAAAAGAAGAAGAAGAAGGAGAACGAGAAGAACAACATCTAACAACCCTCACCTAGCAGGTGGGGAATAAATAATATAATAATGGTAATATAGTCGTACAGAATAGATTTTAACATGTCATGCCGTTTTAAATAAAAATGTGCAGTGACATGTCAATGATGTTGGATGTAAATGAATTCCGAATTCTGATGCTGATTGCTGTAACAAATCTGAGATCTAAACTAAACTTCCTGTGTACCCAATGTACCGTAATGTACTGTACATAATGCACCGACCGACCGTGCCCGGTAACCGACCCCACCAGGACCTTCCGAGCTCAGTGAGCAACGCTGGCCCTCAACCTGGGACCCGCCGAGCTCAGTGAGCACCGCTGGATCCAACCTGGGACCCGCCGAGCTCAGTGAGCACCGCTGGATCCAACCTGGGACCTTCCCAGCTCAGTGCCAGAAGATATGCCAGATAAAATGCCATAAGATATGCCAGATAAAATGCCAGAAGATATGCCAGGTAGAATGCCAGAAGATATGCCAGATAGGAAGCCAGATGGTATGCCAGATAAAGTGCTAGAATGTTTGTCAGGTAGAATGCCAGAAGCTATGCCAGATAAAGTGCCAGAATGTTTGCCAGATAGAATGCCAGAAGATTTGCCAGATAGAATGCCAGAAGATATGCCAGATAGAATGCCAGATGAAATGCCAGAAGATATGCCAGAACATATGTCAGAAGATATGCCAGGTGGAGTGCCAGAAGATATGTCAGATAGAATGCCAGAAGATTTGCCAGTAACAAAACGTATAAATGTCATGGTGGGGATAACTCGAAGTAAAGTAGTTTTCATATTATATATATTATGTATGTATAATTCTGTATAATTCTATAATAATATTTTTAGATTAGGCTATATATCAGGCTAGGCTCTATTATATCATGAATCATTTCTATGTCATGTCTAGTCTATTTTCAGGTGTGTGAAAGAACATCCTAATCTGAGATATATCAATGAGAAGGCAACTTGGGCTGAGAAATCAGTCTGACCAGTACCAACTTGTAAGTCTTAAACTCTGCACAGTGCTTGTTTAGGTTTACCTGTCTACCGCACCTTACTGTCTGTGCAGTACGGCATTCCAAATCACTGAAGGGGACCCAGTGTGGAAATTAGAGACTCCAGAATCGAAATATAGTGAACTGTGACTGAATGCATGATGTATGATGTATGTCTGTATCATGTACTTGTTTCCCGCGATTTTCGTTCGAACTTATTTCATCTCTGTGGTGAGTGGATGTGGGTGGCGATCCATCAACCTGGACCATGCCCCAGTGGGCCATTCATTCCATAATCCTTATAGTCTGGAAAAAAGTCCGAAACTGTAAACCTAACCAAACGCTTTCGTCATGACTCCTGATATTCATTGTTAAAAATCCTTCAAGCTTTCAATCACATTGTATCTGGCTATGAGCCGTCATCAAAACCAGTCCAGGTTCCTATCATATATCATATATCATGTCAATGATTCAATATCACGTCGTATCATATCACCGATCATTATCACCGAATCACATCAATTATCAATGACATCGTCAATGAATATCATGTATTTCATGAAATTGCAGGTACGGTATTAATTAGTTATCTTATCCAGTTTTCATTTAACCTGTGTCACTTATCAGATATCTTTCATAACCACTGTCATCCTTGTTCCTTCTCTCCCAGGTATCGCAAAGGTCTCGAGCGCAGCAAAGTCAGCCCACCGAAGGCCCTTTTGACATGGATGAATGAGGCTGCAGCCTAGAGATGTTTGAGAAGATTTCGCGAGCTCTTCTCACAGCCCTGTTGTGGCTCCAATACACACTTTTGTGCCTGGGAAGGTCAAAAAGAACGCATCCGATGCTGCCGCCGCCATTGGGCATTTCACCATTGTGAGACAGAACATTCTGGATGGTTTCCTCTATGCTGCAGCTTTCAAAAAATAAACCCATTTGGGAATCGATCTAAAATGTCCTTGTAAGGAGTTTTAATTGCAAAAGCCGTGCATGTTATGTTGGAAACCCTCGCAAAAGTTTTTGTCCGAGTTCGCGAAAGTAACATTTTTTTCCGCGAGAGTTTCGCGTCAGTTCGATATAATAACACATTAGGTAAAGGACTGCCACCCACTATCACCCACTGCCGCCCGGGGTCCGGAAGGAGAAGGGCACTAGAGAATTTCGGTTTGGTTCTGGTTCAGTTCCCTGTGTGGTGGTGCTTGTGGACAATCACACCCTTCATAGGTAGCAGCCGAGCTTCCAAAGGCGAGGCTTCTCGACAGCCAAACGCCATGGTCCTGAAGCACATCCTTGCACCTGCTGCTGTCACTGCCCTAATGATGCTTTTTGAAGTCTCAAGAAACAAGCTCCTTATGACGCTTTTCCTTCAATGCACCCCCTGCTGATGGCCGGGGTCTGTGAATAGGGATATTTTCGCGAAAGTTCCGCGAAAGTTATGCGAACGAGCGGGCGAAAGTCAAAGTGCATGTTGAAGGGGGTGGGCCAGTAAACCTTGCCAAAAAAAACCTAGTCAGCAACAATATTTGCCCTTAGAAGGGATTCCGTGATGCTAGCTGCATGTTTAAAAGGCTATCATAAGGCTATCAAGAAGTGATCCGTGATTCTCTGGCGTAATTTGGCAGGTGGTGAACGAATCTTCAAAAGAGGTGTTGTTGGCCAACATGGGCCCCGCGAAAGATAAACATGGAGTTCGCGAAAGTTTCGCGAAAGTAACATTTTTATTCGCGAAGAATGGCCGTTCCCGGATAAAGGAATTTTGATCAACAACAATTTATTTGGTGGGCTTCCTTTGGCTCGATAGGATGGTGCATAATCTGAGTCTCTGTGCTGAATTGCCCGGGATTTTTCAATATACAGAGCTAAACTCTCATTGGCCTTTTCCGGTCAAAGTATATACAAACCCAACTTCTTTATGAACTATTGGGTTCATGCTGTGAAAAACCCAACTTCTCTGTGGGTTGGTAGACTGACAAAATGTGCCAACCCAACTTCTCAATGGCATTTTGGGTCCATCGTGCTTGTGCTTTTTTTTGTGGTCTGGATTGTGGGGACTGTTAGTGTAGGGGGGACAGTCCAATATATATATATATAGTATATATATATACAAATATATATATATATATATTATATA